TATTTACAGTTTTAATGTTAACACCTTTTCTGTTTATGAAGAGAGTTCATTGCTTGTTTCTATTTACAGTTTTAATGTTAACATCTTTTCCGTTTCAAAAAGTCTTACTTCTAATTCATTTCAGCAGAGACTCCTAATTTTTTTTGAGATTTCTCCTTGAAGGATTAAGGTGCAGACAAGTTATCAATAGATTTGTAATTTTTTGTTAACTACTCCTTATGGTGGAAGGAAACATTTCCCTCCCCCTTGCTTTCATCAAGAGGTCCCAAACTCTTCAAAATCACAAGGAAAATACAGTCATCCCCCCAACAATGAAACCCTATAACTGTCCCTGAAAATCTTTACTTTTCAGATTAATTAATTAGATTTATAAATATATTTTGATTTGTTCTAACCAATACTAATCATTTATCTCAAAACCAATGATATCTTCCAAAATCATTGAATATCAAACCTACAAGTCATATTCAAAACTTTGGTGATACACAACACACACCTTCAAACCCTATAGCCACATATTATCAACACTTACTAGGGGCTTCAAAAACAAAAGTAACGGTGTCTGCATCATCCTGGGCTTTTACAGTAATGACATCATCATTGGCTGCACACTTCAGAATTTTTGACATACTGAAATTTAAAAATACATAAATTAGCCGTGGTTTAAAAATAGCAACCTCAAACGGGTGAAAACAAATGGAAATGAGATGTGAACCAGTTTTATCTATTGGAAATGGTGCTGGTAGTGCTACTTCTTGCAAAAAAAATGTACAAACGTTAATTTATTTAGAAAAAAACAAACTTGGCTGTTTTTAAACTTCTTGCACAACCTGAATCCATACAAAATTATAAGTTTCATAGAATATACAAGGTAAATAAAAAATGAAGAATTTAAGAACCTGCAAATAGGGATCATAAAAAAAGAAGGCAAACAAGGCTGGAGATACTGTAGACATTATTTACCCAAACTACAAACCCCTATTTTGGCTCCATGCTGATACTTAGAACTACATTTGGTGAAATCAAAAATAG